TACCCTTTTCCATATTGGCACATTTCACCCAATGTTGGGGCTCTCTTCAGGCTTCTCGTGGAGGTATGTTGGAAGTGATTGGGGCCGTGGGGTCTAGATCAGGGCTATGTTGAAGGCTTTGCTGCTGTTATGTTTTGCGGCCATGTTGGTCCACTTGGCTGCTTTTTCTCTGCCCTGTTTGACTTGGCAGGTGGTTTTTTGCGTACTGTGCGTAAAACGCCATAAATCCATGAAAATGAGGTCCGACAAGTGTAAGAAAGGTGGCTTTGACAGTTTTGTCGTTTTTGTTGCTTACGAAAGCTTGCTCCAATGGGCAGTCAAATTTGGGGCATGTTTGCACCAATCTTCGGCGATCTTGGTGCATTCTTAGGGCATATCCTTCTCCATGTTGGCACGTTTCGCCCAATGTTGGGGCTCTGTTGGGGCTTCTCGTGGAGGTATGTTGGAAGTGATTGGGGCTGTGGGATCTATGTTGAAGGCTTTGCTGCTGTTATTTTACTTTTTTGCGGCGATGTTCGTCCACTTGGCTGTTTTTCTCTGCCGTTTGACTTGGGCAGGTAGTCTTTTTGTGTCATGTGCGTATAACATCGTAAAAACCCGACAGACTTAGGTCCGACAAGTGTAAGGTTATATACTTGTTTTCTCTGCCGTTCGACTTGGGCAGGTGGTCTTCTGCGTAGTGTACGTACAACACCGTTAAAACCATGAAAAAAAGAGGTCCGACTACCCAGCAATAAAATGCAGCTGCTCCGCTTTCCGTGTTTTTCCGAACTGGTTTGCAGGTGCCCACCAGTGGAGCTGAGTCCTCGGAGTTGAGCCGTGCAAATCTTAGATTTCGACGAGTTCAGCAGTTGTCGGGTGGATCAGGTTTATGGGTAGCTGGGTTGTTTGAGGAGGAACACACACATATCATACGTATGTATATATATATATACACACACACACATTTTAAAGACATACATACAGAAACAGACATAACACGCTGATTGAACTGCTGAACTTGAGGGTATTGCCACCCGCCCTTGGTGGTATGATATCGTGTATCCATTTGCACAACTTTCTGCATTTTTGGTATTCGTCAGACTTGCAACATGATGTGTTATCAAAGCGAATCCGGCAGCCTCTATAAATTCGCATTAGACAAGAAATCGAGTCCTTACTTTGCAGCAACAAAAAGTTTTTCCACTTCTCACTTTTGGACCGTGCGGGTTAATGAACTTCTCTCAGAGTTCCTAGCAAAAACATGAAACAGCAATGTATCAGTCGGTGGGAATAGGGATTGTGCTCTTTTGTTTTTGCATCCCTTCGGGTGAAGGGTGCCCCGTTTTCACAGTGTGGGTAGCGACGTCCAGATGTTTCTAAGTCCTGCGCTTGAACCACCACTGCAACTACAAGGGCCACTGTGTGCAACTCAAGGCCAGCTCACTTGATCAGTTGGACTTGGAAAGTGTCCGTCGAAATGTGCTTTCCAAAATCCTTACGTGTAGTCAGAGAGAGAGAGAGAGAGAAGCCGAAACCATGACAATGCATGTTCATGGGCACAAAGAGTCCCACTTCTTAAGCCTTTACAGCATTGCCAGCACACCTTCATCCATGTGGACTGCCCCACCAGCGACTCTGAAGATTGCATGCTTTGCAATATCACCAGGCTGGGCTTGGACTCGGATTGTGCGAAACCGCCAGCGTTTGCGTAGGGACTTGAGCTGTACTCCCTAACAGTCTAGAAGCGTGAGCTATCCCGCGTCCAGTTACTAGAAGCTTAAGTATCCAGGAGCTTACTCCCTTACTTAAGGTGCCTACTTAATTAAGAAGGAGCGGGCTAACAAAAAAACATCCAGCGCACTTGGTCACAAATTCCGTGCCCAAATGGTGGCCTAGCCGGCTAGTGAGGCGGCGAGCACGATCGGCAGACAGCAAAGAACCACATGCGGTGGCGAGTGCCAGTGTGGTGCCTCTGCAGCCGCGGCAGGTGAGAAAAGTAGGCAACTACTGTAGGGGGTCTTCCTTTGGTTGAAGGAGCGCATGCACCCATAGTTTGAGCTCAGCTTTCCAGGACAGTATTTATTCTCAGCCAGGTTAACAGCGACAGCCAGGGGTTGGGTTGGATATGGTTTCAGCCAAGGTCTGGAAACAGAAGAAGCAGCTGGCAACTTAGAAAATTAGAGTGCACGGACAGAAAGATCTGATCCGCCAGCATGTTTGTGCTGAATGAGGACTCGGAGGGTTTGGCAACCAAAAGCTTGAAAAGGGTTAACAGACATTCAACTGAATGTGGCAAGGCGAAAGCTAACTCTATTTACAGCCATGATTGAGGTCTTTCGGCGATGATAATGGAGAAGGCCCGAAGGCCTGGTTTTGATATAGATACTTAACTTGATTGCAGGAAAATGGGTTTCCCAATGTCAGGATTTTCATGGTTGCCAAGCGCAGATCCAATTTGTAACTGGTGATAAATCTATGACCGCGAATGATGAAGGTGAACAAGCGCAACTGGGGGATATCGGGTGCTATCATAGTTGACAAATACAGTTGTTTCCCAGCTGGTCTCGTGCAGGAGATTCTAAAGCTTTCCTCGACCTTCAACCAAAATATATAAGGTTAGCAATTCCTGGCAAGTTAACAAGTGTGAGGGTGGAATGAGGCACGAGGGTGGATCTTTCTCACTCCACTTGGAAAGGAACTTTGCAGCCTCCATAGATTGGTAACAAGATGAGCTGCTTAGCTGGCGTAGATTGGAAGCAATGCCAGTGATTCAAGCGGAAAGCCTATCTTTACACTGGGGCTTACAGTTCTCTCCCCTCTATGTCTCTGGAAACCAAGTCGTTAGGAGTCCAAGAAATATGAACCACTTTAGGAGAATGCTTCGCTGAATGGGACGGCATTGCACTGGGCGTGGGCATCTGCAGGGGAGATCTCTCACCGATGACACCTGTTTCGTAGCAACAGGGCGCTAACCGCAGCTCGCCTGTGAACCACGAGCGCAACAGGGCGCTAACCTCGAAAGAGCGTAGTTCCATACCCATTCGACCCAAACTGTTTTCAACAGTTTTCTCTGAAATTGCTGCGAAGTGTTATCAATGCGGAGTGTTGTAGAGCCATGTATGCCCATTGTGACATTTACTAGTTCTCCAACTCGCGGACTGCAAGCCAATGTCACTAGACGGTCTGGTTGCCCTTTGCGAAGCTGCGCTGCTGGCAATCCAATGGCAGATGCCCATTTCCAAAATGGCAAGGTTGTGCACGAATTGGCAGTTGGGCCTTTTGTTGCTCAAATGCGTGAGGTCCACTAAAGTGGCAGTGGCAAAGCCAAACCTGTGTGGGGTCAAGTACTTTGCTGCAATAGATCGCTGCCGCGTATTCGTGTGGAGCCATGCCGCGAGGGGTGGTTGACAGATTTTTGCACGCAATTTGACTCTTGTACAGCAAGAAAATGGTGTGGGTCAAAACTGACACAGTTTTCAGGCTGAATCGTGCCTCTACAGACTAGACCTTTTACTGACCCACAACCAATCTGTTTGGATTTTGAGCCTAGGCCTCAAGTAGGTGGTGCCAGTAGACAGGTGGACGTTTCACCTTCCAAATTGGAGGGTAGAACCTGGAGCAGAAGATAACAGCGACAGCCTTTGCATGTTCTTTAAACTTTCTACTAGCTGGTTTTTTGATTCTTGAGAGCTTCCTAGTGTAGGAAAGGGCCGAAGAGATGCGTGGCTGGACGGAGAGTTATTCGCATATTTCAGCAAACCATCATTTCGACGGGATAAATGCAGCAAACATTTGTAGGCTCTATTCTTGTTGTGCCACTATGACTATGATTTGTCCACCTACTAACAGCTGCAGCTGAAGCAGAAAAGCTCGGTTTTCGCAGTGACAGCTCCTTGATAGGGCTTGTGGTTTTGCTGATGATGTTGACGAACATTTTGAGGAATGCTGAAGCCACTCAAATGGAGCTGCCTTCAAATTTTGAGGCCTTACGGCCGATACACGAGCCAATCCCGAGCTCGGCAATTGGCATGGGCCAGGGTTCCTCCGAATCAGGATGAACTTGACTAGAAGTGCCCACTTTCATCTTGACATCAGCTCTATTTGCGATGAGAATACCTTTGCTGCTCATGCATAGCAATTTTTTCTTATAGCCAGAGTTATTCTGGATTTCTTTCTGCATACTTCCAGCGGCACGATCTTTGTTGGGGGTACTTTCAGAGACTCGCCCTCCCAACCGGTCACAGCAGCGCATCATGAGCTAGTTGCAGCCCAGCTGGAGAGGTATCACATCTTCTGGAACACCCACCCATAACATTCTGTTATATAAAGAGTTGTCAAAGGCACACAAACTTCTGTTTCCCACCAGCCTCAGTGATTCTGCAAGCTGATTGCTGTCACAAGTCATATGCGCAAATATATGTACTCAGAAGATGTGCTGTCTCCAATGAACTCTTGAACTACAATGGAGAGCGATGGTGCAGCGGGCCAGACGCACACTCAGACCTCTGGACCAAGTGGGCAGGTATTGGTACATGTGTTCGAAAATACAGGACGAAACATGATATGTTGAAAGGGGACGCCGTGGGGCCCGCTTTTTTTCACTGTGCTATGGAACTGCACTTCTTATAATTTCTTTTGTCTTTACGTAATCTTTAAGGAACTGTGTCGAGTGTAAGTCTAGCTTCAATTCGTCCATTCTCTTCATGCTGGGTTGACATACAGGCAGGTCCACTGACTGGATCTACTGAAGGGAAAACCTTTTCAGCTTTCAATTTTCCAAGTTCCCGAATGCCAATCGAAGGGTTCCCGTCTATTTTTTGGGGTCTGGGGGTAGTTCGTTGTTCGCACGATGTTGCTTTGATGTCTGCAACCGTCCGCAACCGTTCGCAACCGCTTGAAAAGACTTGGGGAAAGAGAAAGGTCTTGGGTGGAAGGCCGAAGGGTCAGATTTGTGTGAAATAGCGTGGAAACCTAACATGTTGAAGTGTGCTGTTGCAACGACGCTTTGTCTTCGTGACAAGTCTAAGCCAAACCCGCGATTTTGGTGGATGTGAGTTTGCTCAGAAAGTGTCGATATGATTCCGAACGTGTGGTGTGGTGCAAATTTTGCAGTTCAGTAGCGGTAACGCTTCGTGACGGGCGCAGTGCTTTGTGCGTGTTGGAAGTGTCGAAGTTGAATTTTCGTTGCCAGCGCAGGGAGTCGTCAGGTTGTCCCGTTTCGTGGAGGTGAATCTCGCTTTGCCATTGGGGTTGGCGTGTTGGCGGCTGTGGTTTTTGAGTGGCTGGAATTGCGAAGCTGCTTTGACGCGTGGCTTTTGGAGGAAACCTCGTGCGAAGCGCTTGTTTTGGAGACTTGATTCGTGATCCGTGACTTTTGGAGGAGGTCCCGGACGCAGTGCTAGTTCTGAGCCCCGCGGTCTGAGCTGGCAAAATTTTCTAGTACAAATGTAGTGCGAAGTAGCTTCCGGGAGCTCCGGGCTGTGGTGTATCGTTTGGTTGGCGCTCCTGCATGCGGTTTTCGCTGGCCCTCCGGGCCATGGAAGACACCATACTGGCTACGGCTAAGGTTCTTCATCCTCCAGATGAAGATGGGGTCAGTCAGGAAGCTGGAACTGGCATGAAAGCCAGCCTTCTTACCCTCAGGCTACTGAAGTGGTGGTGCGTGTGGAAGGCAAAAAAAGAGGAAGAAGGAAAAGTCCAAAAAGAAAAAAGTGGCGCTCCAGGAGCACTTCCTCTTCCGGGTCTGAATCCACTGACAGCTGGGCCCGGAGCAAGAGGCGAGCAAAGGGCAAGAGAAAGGCGGTTGAGAGCGGCCTTCAATTGGGCCAGAAAGAGGTGGAAGAGCTTCAACAGTTTCGTCGCCAGGCGGAAATCCAGAAGGCTCTGGGAAGAAGTTTTGGCCAGCGTACGCAGTGGGCCTGGGCCGGTAAAGGTGCAAAACTGGCCAGGCCCGACGATGAGCCGGTTTTCCCCCCAAGCCAAGAAGGTCGCGCTCGCTCAGTCCCGCATTCTCACGCAATCTTCAGTCTCCAAACGTTTTTTACTTTCTGATGCCGTGTCATCAATGATGGACGTGAAGGCGCAGGGCTCTCGGCCCCACACTGGCTTCGCCCGATCAGTGCAATATAGGCAGGCCCTCAAAGTCTTGGCATGGGACGAGTATGTTGTGTCACATTGGCTGCAAGTTACCGCAGGCATACGAGTGGCAACAGTCGGTGCTGGCACCCTGTTCCTGGGATACAAGTGGGTTTCAGAAGGGAACGCAGCAGTTGACGGAGTCAGGAAATGGATCCGTGACGTGGCGCAGGCCCCAGTACCACGCGCCAAATGGCTTTCTTATTTTTCACATGATGAAAGATAATCAGGCGAAAGCTTTTTTGATTGGGAGGGTTTCTGAGAATGGGGTGAACTTTCAGTTGATGAAGCCTCTTTCTTTGATGCTGAGCTGCGAGTTTATCATGGAGGCGTGCAGCTCACCTTTCATGTCAAGTCTAGGGTCAAAACACGTTTCTTTAGGGAGTGCGCAGCAAAAGGCGCTGAGAAAAAATCAGGTTTGGGCCTTTAAGCCTTAGACGCAAGGCCGTCCGGAAAAGAACATCGTTTGTGCGGTGCTTCGACTGACTGCTTGGAACATGTCTTCCAGGGAGGAGGTTGTGGGAGATCCGGGCTCAGAAGTGGTTTGCAGTGCAGCGAAGCTAGGTCTCTGATGATGGTGTGCCATGCGGCTTGGCACTTACTGCCCGTGATGTCGCTGTGCCCTGCAGTCTGGCTCGGCCTTGGCGGAAGTGCGTTTGCGTGGCTCCGTGCCATTAGGGAACGGAAAGCGTGTGCGTGCAACGAGTTTGGCGTGGCCTAGGAGGAAAGTGCATTTTGTGTATGCCAAAGCGGAGCAGGCCTGAGCGCCGCTGCCGAGCAGGGTGATTTGTGGTCACCAAGCGGCGGGCAAGAGTGCCTCACAAGAGTGGCCTACAAGAGTGCCCTGCAGGAGAATGCCGCACAAGACTGTCCTACAAGAGTGTTCCACAAGAGTGTCCGACAAGAGTGTCCACAAGAGTGCCCCGCAAAATTGTCCGACAAGAGTGTCCAACAAGAACCCCCCCGCAAGAGTGCCCGCAAGAGTGCCCCACCAGACTGTGCCACAAGAGTTCGCAACAAAGCCGAAAGAGCGTTTCCTAGAGTGCCCTACAAGAGTGAGCCCCAACAGTGTCAAGTGGCAAGACTGTGCCACGAGAGTGCCCTACGAGAGTGTCGCGCCAGACGGCGCCGCAAGAGCTCCCTACAAGAGTATACCGCAAGAGTGTTTCCTAGAGCGCCCCGCAAGAGTGTCCCCCAAACAGTGTCAGAGTATCTCATCACACAGTGCCACGAGAGTTCCCTACAAGAGTATACCGCGCGAGTGTTCCTGAGAGTGCCCTACAAAAGTGTCCTCCCCCGATTGTGTCTGACAAGAGTATCTCACAACCACAGAGTGCGCTACAAGAGTATCCCACAAGTGCCCCGCAAGAGTGCCACAAGAGTGCTCTACTAGAGTCTCCCACAAGAGTGACGCACGAAAGTGTCCCACCACAGAGTCAGGAAGAGTGTCCCACAAGAGTGTCCCACGAGACTGTGCCACAAGAATGTTTCCCAAGAGTGTGCCCTACAAGAGTGTTCCACAAGAATGCCCCCAAGAGTTTCTACAGGAGTGCCCTACAAGAGTGTCCCACCAGAGTATGCCACAAGAGTGTGCCACAAGAGTTCTCTACAACTGTACCACAAGACTGCCACAAGGGTGGCCCACAAGAGTCTACAAGAGTGTCCCACAAGAGAGTGCCCTGCAAGCACAAGAGAGTGCCGTACAAGAGTGTTCGGTAGAGGAAAGAAACACTTGCAGAAGCAGAGTCAAGCAAATAGACTTACAAACATGTACAAACAGAGAACATCAAAGACAACTACATAGAGGACAACAGAACTTGTAGGAAACATTTCCCTAGAAGGATAGAGAAATAGTTAACTGTTTTAGTAGGGCGCACACGCACAAGAGGGTACAGTACAAACATGTGCAAACAAATCGAGAAGAGCGCAAACAAGTAGAGATTGCGAGAACAGCGCAAAACTTGCTTGGAACCTCAGTGTGCCAGCCGGGCCCGAGATGACTCGCAGACAAGTCAAACAACCAGGCGCGTTCGCAGGCTATGGCATAGGATGGTGGGGCCATTCTTGGCTACTGTAAGTATGGAGTTTTGTTTCTTGCGGCGTTGACATGCTGAGAGCGTCCTTGATGTTTTTTATTTGATTGTTTGTTGCGCGCTCTGAGGATACCAGGTTCAAACGCAGCTTTGCTGAGCTTGGTGGACAGGAGGGGCTTGGGCGATCGCGACGAACAGTTCACACAGCTATGCATTTCCAGCCTACCTTGCGTTCTCCTTCCTAGTCAGCATCATTTTCATGTGTTTTCTCACGACTTGGTATAAGTATAGACACAACAAGCAGCCCCGAGACAAGCGTTGCCTTGTTGCCTGCTGCAGGATTCTGCGGCTTACTCAGCATGACCAGGCCGAGAACTTAAGGGAGACAAAGGCAACGGCGTCCTTTTTTGTTCTCATTGCCTTTGACGGATCAGTCTCAGCAGGTCACCCTGGCACTGACCAGCATGGATCGGGAGCAGTTGCAATATCGCGCTACGGAGGCAAGTGACCATATTATTCAAGCATATTCAAGCCTTTGGTGATGGGATCCACAGACTTGCATAGACCTCAAAGCTCCATGTTCGACAGGGCCTTCCCAATGCGGAGTTGCGTCTCCCAATGTCAACGAAATGCGGCTCTCAGCGGCTCACTGTTGTGAGGCCTCCCAGACGTTGTTCCTTTGCAACCACACAGACAGAGCTGAAGCGCAGAGGCGCGAAAATCAATCTTATCTTCAGGTTGCAAACAGGTTTTCAACAATCCGTCAGGCTCGACTCGACGTTGCAGGTTTTAAGCTTCAAAGAGCAAACTGATTTCTTCCTTCGCACGAACCTCCTATGCCCCTCCAGCGAGAGATGTGTTACGGCTATACATACATATGTATATATACCATGTGATTTCAGTGGCCAAACCTTGCAACCTGGACTTTGAAGGGTACGCTGTCACATGAGAGGTGACACTCATCCGAGTGTCATGTGTTCGTGCCCGTGAGAAGGGGCTCAAGTCAGGGGGCTTGGATGGTAGGCCGTGGACGGCCGTTCGCCCTTGGTCGTGGACGACCCTCGGAGGCTGCGGTGTGAGAAAGACGCGCCCGGGAGCGCTTGGTGGGTAGAAGTGATAGGTGAGGGAAGGGCGACGCTTCCAGTGTGGGGAATCTACACTGGTAGCGGAGCCCAAGCCGCTGAAGGTGTTGAAGCACTTTCGGAAGTGGCTGGGTTCGCATGGCTACTGCTCGTGATGATCCTTCTTCGGGCTCCGGGAGCTCTGGAGGATCGAGTCATTTGCCATACAATCAGGTGCCTGTGTTCAAAACTGGAGAAACTGACTTGAATGAATGGACTCGCGAAGTCGAATTTCTAGCTCAGCTATGGCCTCCAGAACAGTTGCACTACTTAGCACCAAGGATTGCGATGCAGTGCGAGGGTAGCGCCTTCCAGCGGGTATCCAGAGTTGATCCCAAAGTGTTGCGCTCGAATTCCACCGATGGAGTTCAGGCGATTGTGGAAGCACTGGGTGGAATCTGGGGTAAATCCCGATTGGAGGATAAGTTCGAGCGATTCGAGAGAGCGATTTACAGCACAGTTCAAAAGGGTGACAAGACCAATGAGTCCTACTTGGCACGTCACGACCACCAGTTTGAGGAGCTGAAAAGCATGAAGGTTGTGCTTGATGAGTTTCGTGCTTACATCCTTCTTCGCAACTCCTCCTTGAGCTCAGACGACAAGAAACGCTTGATCGTGGAATCCCAAGGGTCATTGGATTATCGTGAAGTGGTGTCAAACCTCAAACTGCTAGGGAGCAAGTTCTTCCACGAGGTCCATGCCCGGAAAGCTCAGAATGTTCGAGCCAAAACGTATGACTCGTCGACCTTCTATGCTGATGAAGAACCAGCCATGTTCATGTCGACTCCGGCAACTGCCGGTGATGAGGAGCCGACCTTTTTTGGTGATCCTCTGGATGACGGACATCTGGAACAATGGGCCGAAGAAGGTGATGCTGATGCTGTTGTGTGCATGTCTCCAATTTGAGGAGAGTTTGTTGGACACATTGCAATCCGATCCCGACATGGCCGCATGCATGAACACGTACATGGAAGCTCGAAAAAGGCTTTCCGACAAGGCCAATTTTTGGAACCCTCCTCGCAAGGGCATGGGCAAAGGTCGCAAGGGGAAGAGCGACCGCTTCGAGTTCCGACCACGGAAACCGCTGGCACAAAGGGTCTTAGAATCCAATTGTCGGAGGTGTGGGGCAAAAGGCAAAAGGCCGTTGGAAGGCCGAGTGTCCGCTCCGCAACCAAAGTGCATCCTCAGGACTCAATGCTGCCAAAGATGGTGCTTTCACTGGAATGGCCTTGCAGGAGTCCGACTTCGCTGAGGATGAAGACATGATTCTCATCAATCAGGCGCCTTGGACAAATTGGCATTCAGTTTTTATGACTCTAGCAGACAAGCCATTTCCCCACAGGGTAGTGAATTCAACGGACATGGTCCGCCGAATGCAGCAATGCTCGCAAAGGCTGATGCCATTGCTTCGAGCCAGACTGAGCCATCCAACAAGCCCTCTGATTGAGCCAAAGTCTTCACCCACCACGGGTGAGGCGACGACATGTTTCGTAAGTCATGGAACTCTAGGCATCGTCGACCTAGGTGCCAGTCAGACAGTAATAGGAGAACATCAGGTGTCCGAACTCACCGCTCAACTGCCAGGACATGTTCAGGTCCAGGAAGTTCCACGCAGAACAATTTTCCGTTATGGCAATAGCAGCACTGTGGAATGCAACCGAGCTTTGCTTGTTCCACTAGGGCCGTATAAAGTGAAGATCTGTGTTGTTCCATCACGTACACCATTTTTGCTTTCGAATAATGTTTTTCGTAGCTCGATGCATCGATCCACACCGCAACCGATTCAGTGTACTTTGGAAAGCTTGGATTCGGACTGCCACTCACTTTGTCCGAAAAGAAGCTATATCTTCTCGATTTTGCACAGTTGATTTCACGAGCCCATCAAACGCCAGTCAAACAGATAGAAACGAAAGAAGAAACTATTTTGCAAAGCAGTGACAGTCGGATCGGTTTCGGTTCATCTCGTACATCCTGTCCTCGTTCCGGAGATTCTGAGCATGAGGGTCGTGATGCAGATGAGCCTCCTCTGAGACTCTCGTGCCCAATGACAGTGAAGTGCGATCACAAGACCCGACCGACTCCGGTGTTTGCCATGGCATCCATGTCGAAGACTCCGACCTTGGCTGATCGTTTCAAGGCCCTGAAGACGGCGTCCGAGGCAGGAATTCCCTCCGATCCGGAGACCATGCCGCTGGAAGAGTTGGCTCAGGCCAAGATCGCATTTGGCGAAGCCAAGAAGGGTCAGACCTTTGCCAAACTCCTCGAGGACAGTCGCTATGTCACATGGTTCCTGGGACATTACCAGGATTCCACCAAGCCGGTACACAAGGCCTTCGTGACGTTTGTGCGTCGCCAGATCGAAGCCCAAGAAGCCGTCGTGACTTCGGCTCCCAAATCTCGAGCCAAGGCCAAGGCCATGCCGACCTCTCGGCCTGCGACGGCCGAAGAAGTCGACAGCTGGATTGCCCAGGAACCCCTGGAGATGTGGGACATGATCGAAGAGGGCCAGAGCACGCGTCAGGAACTCGAGATCGAGAGTCAACGTCTGACCCGCCTGGAAGAGACCATGAACCAGATCTTGCAGGTTCTCTCGCAGCCGAATCCCATTCTGGACTCTGCGCAGCAAGTGAACCACGAGGAGCAAGAGCTCTAGATCCAACCGCAGGCGCCAGTGGTCCAGTGGTAGTTGATTCCCGGGAAATGCATTCGTTGATCGCAGACTGTATCGGATGTGAACAAGTGTCCCTCAATCCTGACCAGGTCCTAGATCCATTGTACTTCACTCATGTGCAAACCGAGCCGCAGATTCGGAATTGGGTTTATCAGGAAATGATGTCGTACTTTTGCAAACATTTATGGTACTCAAGAAGAAGTGGCAACTCATTTTTCTAGGGGGGGTATTGATGTACTTGAGGTATGCTGTTCATCTGACAGTCAGCTCACCTGTCAGGCACAGAATCTGGGACTGAAAGCCGCGCGCTTCTGTCGCCAACATGGTGACCTCGGGACTTTTCATGGTCGAAGTAAGTTGTATGATCTTCTATGGGTGACAAAACCTAGGCATGTTTGGACATCTCCGAACTGTGGTCCGTGGTCGAATTGGTGCCATCTGAACGCCGGAAAGTCTCGAGAACTCGCGATCAAGATCGGATCAGCTCGGATGGCTGAGAAGACACATCTGCTTGTTTGCGATGCCCTGTGCCGTCTGCAGATTGGTCGAGGGTCTTACACACATTTTCATCTAGAGCAGCCTTCCGGCTCCGAAATGATATTTCAAGGTGAACTGTCATTCATTGTGCGCTATACTCATCAGGTGAAGTTCGACATGTGCACGGGGGGCAACCTCCGACACCCCAATCGGCCTGAAGCCTTTCTCCGGAAACGCGCGCAGATATTGACCACATCTACCATCATGCACAGAGCAGTGGAGCAGTGGCAATGTCGTGAGTCTCATGACCATCTGCAGATCGCCGGGAGTTGCGCGGCCCCTGGACTAGGGCGAATTCCGTTGTCTAGGTACACTGAACTGTACACTCAAACCTTTGCTTGTCGTTTGGGAAAAATAATCCAAACTAGCGTCCAAAGCAAAGAGCCTCAAAGATCTAACCAGGTGTGTGAAGTTTTTGGGATTCTTGAACCTGACAACAAACACCGTAGGATTGAAGGGAAAACACCGCCTCACACGTCAGAGTCCAGTGACAGCAGCCCAGCGACTGCCAGAGAGTTGAGCCAGCTACAAGCGATTCCCCAAGATGTGGACCAGGTCACCCCAAGGGTAGGTAGAGTGTGGATCACTGAAGGGCCCATCATGACCAAGCTCCAAAACTTGTTTTCGAACATGAAAATAGGGGGCATTGATGTGTGTAGGGGAATCAACCGTCTTCGTATTCCACCCGAGTCATGCCATACCGTGTTGCCCTTCAGAAGAGCTTTTGGGAGAAAAAGGGATGATCACTCGCTTGTTGTCGACTCCCAATGGGAACAATGGAACACATTGTCGCACCGACAGCAAATTCGTGGTGGTACACCTACCCGGTTATTATAGTGACCATGTTTGCCTCGGTTCCAAAAGAACCACATGAACAGGCCCCGGACGAGCTTGTATCTAAGCGACCGCGAACTGAGTCACAGTCCAAGACGGAAGAGTCAGAAGCGACACCATCAACCAAAGAGCCACCAGCCCCTAATGCCGATGGAGTACTCCCTGAGTCCCACCGACTGTGTCATGGTCCTCTGTTCCGAGCATTGCCCGACAAGTTGCAAGCAATGATCCAAAAGGTCCATAAGAATCTAGGACATCCAGGACATGCCCAAATGAAAGCTGCACTTCAGAGTGAAGGTTGGTCCGAAACTGTGATTCAGGCCCTCCAGGACTTCCAGTGCGATGTTTGCCATGAACAGCAAGCGCCAAAGATAGCTCGGCCAGCCCGTCTGACAACTCCAAAAGAATTCAATGACATGGTTTCTTTTGATGTGGTTGAATGGAAGTCACCTCAAGGTTTGTCATTTGGGTTTTATCATTTCATCGACTCAGCAACGAATTTTCACATTGCCGTGCCATTCCATCAGGGAACTTCAAAAAGCTTGATAG